CTATGTTCATAACATCACTATTTGTAATAGCCAGAACCTGGAAACAACCTAGGTGGCCCTCAAAAGAAGAATGGTTAAAGAAGGTGTGGAACATATACACATTAGAGTTTTACTCAGCGGTAAAAAACAATGACATCTTAAATTTTGAATGCAAATGGATGGAAATAGAAAATGCTCTTCTGAGTGAGGTATCCCAGACCCAAAAAGAGGAATATTGTATGTACTCATTCATAAGTGGATTCTAGCCATAATTGAAGGACTTTGAACCTATAATTCGTCATTCTAAAGAAGCTAAATAAGAAGGTGAACCTAAGGAAAATCATATAGTTATCCTCCTGGATATTGGAAGTAGACAAGATTGCCAGGCAAAACTTGGGTGCACTGGGGTGGGAGCGTGGGGGGTGAATGTAAGGAGACATGGGTAGATAAGGGGGAGAGGGGAGGATTGGGAAAGCTTGGAGGAATGGTATGGGTGGGATGGAGGAAGGGTGGATATGGAAGCAGGGAAGTAAATATCTTAATTAAGGGAGCCATTTTAGGATTTGCTAGGGACTTCTCTCTAGAGGGGTTCCAGGTCCAAGGAGAGGTCCCCAGAGAGTTGCTTGTACAGCAGAGGAGAGGGTGCCTGAACTAGCCTTGTCCCATAGCCACACTGATGAATATCTTGCATATCACCATAGAACCCTCATCTGGCGATGGATGGAGATAGAGACAGAGACCCACATTGGAGCACTGGACTTAGCTCCCAATGTCCAAATGAGGAGCAGAAGGAGGGAGAATGAAGGACGTCAGGATCGCGAGGGGTGCATCCACCCACTGAGTGGGATTAATCTAATGGGAGCTCACCAAGGCCAGCTGGACTGGGAGTGTTGGAGCATGTGATCAAAATGGACATTCTGAACGTGGCTAGCAATGAAGGCTGACTGAGAAGCCAAAGACAATGGCACTGAATTTTTATTCTACTGCATGGACTGACTTTGTGGGAGCCCGGTTTGTTTGGATGCTCACCTTTATAGACCTGGATGGAGGGTGGAGGACCTTGGACTTCCCGTGGGGCAGGGAACCCTGACTGCTCTTAAGACTAGAGAGAGAGGGGGAGGCGGGGAGGGGGAGGGAAAGGGTGGTGGGGAGGAGGTGGAAATTTTTAATAAAAATAAATAAATAAATAAGAAATACAATGTGGAAGTAGAAGCCAAATGAATCTTTTTGTCTCCAAGTTCATTTTGGTCATGGGCTTTATCACAGAAATAGCAGCTCTAAATAGGACACTTGGTGTTCAAGATGACTTCAGTATTAAAAATCAAATGATTCCTTTTTTTGTTCATACATGTAAGTTTAAAGTCAGATGAATTAAAAAGTAAAGCCTGAAAAAAAGTTATTATATCTAGTTTTAAATTTTGTACATGTTATGGTAATAGAAATGTCTAATTCTTTTATATTTATTTTCTAGTTTTGTGAAATAGAAGCATTTTCCAGATTCTGTTTCCAGTTATAATTTATATTTACTTCTAGTTTTATTAATTTTTGTGTTTTCTTCTTTCAGATAATATGCTTAACAATTTATCTTTTCCATTTTTTCAAAGAGCCAACTTTTTCTCACAACTATTCTTTGTATAGTTTTTATTTTTTATCTCTTTTGTGATAGCTATTTGCATGTATTTCGTCTGCTTTATTTATTATTTTTTTCTTAAGGCTTTTTATGCAAAATTAAATTATTAATTTGAGATCTCTCAGTAAACAAATACAGATAGAAACCATGTTTGGAGGCTTAAAATTAAATACAGAAAAGTCTGAGTTCTCATGAATTGCGATCTTAAAGAAATGCCATGTAAAGATGAACTTTGATAGAAATTTAACAACAAAGACTGTAGTACATTGAGAAAAATAAGTACAAATAATTTATAATTTTTAATTATTTTATTTTCATATGTATTGAACATTAGTTTTTGCATATTCAAAATGATGTCATGCAACTAATTATGAGAAATGATTAAAGCAATCTCCAGTTGTTCAACTTCTGTTTCAATCATGAACAGCAAAAAATCACTGTTTAAACAGAGAGCAGGGAGAGGGTTTGTGCCCAAGAAGGGATGAGTGGGTAGTAAATTCTAAGTTTTTTATCATAGAAGTGACTAGTGTTTTAAAAGGAAGTTGGCAGCTTTTCAGCTTTCATCTTGAGGATCCATTTCCTTTTTTAGTAGCCAAAACTCACATAACTACAATTTAATCTTATTTTGAGAATATTGTTGAATTTTTATGACCAGTCTTTCTCAACAGTTGTGTTACAAAGCTAAAATTACTTCTCAACACTGAGAATTTTAAGAAAATCAAATGGATGTCTGTTTTTTAAAAAGCATATTTCCATGCCTGTGAAGATAAAGGTCTTGGTCCCCATTCGCTGAGTAAATGCCTCTGAAGTCAACATAGGAAAAGGACGAACTATACCATTTCTGTGTAATAAGTATCCATCTAGCACTTCTAGGCTCAAAACTTTACTACACATGAAGTATATATTCTGATAATTCCAGAATACTATAGAAACTGGGATATGTAGCAATGGCCAGCTCAAATGACAAAAAATAAAAATATATAAATAAAATTTAAGATAAAAATAAAGCCAATCTTAAAGGAAGTGTTTGAAATCTAAATGAAGGATGAGACTAAAGTATCTAACGTAGTGATGAGAGCATAATAAAGACTCATTAAATGATAGATTTTATTGTTGACCTATAAAATAAACAATTGGTTTATCTGAAAGCTCCTGCTTTGGTTGAATGGGTACTCCATGAATTGCAAAATCTTTAGTATTCTATCTACCAATATTCCCTCAGTGGCAAAAAGAGAGCATACTGTATTTGAGCACTTTGGTAATGTTTATTAAAGGAATAAAAGTTGTGGATGTTATAAAAATGAAATATGCTAACTGAAGGAATGACTTGTAAGAAGTTTCTATTTTTCTTTAAATTTTAATGAGGTTTATTTTTTAGAGTAATTTAAATTCATAATATACAGAGAATAAAATACAGAAATCATCATAAATTCAGTCTCCTCACTGTGGGCAGCCCATATGATCACGACACATTTGTCCACACACAAGCATAGCCTTCTTCCTGTGGGCAGTCCACATGATCATGACACAGATGTTCACACACTGGCACAGCCTCCTCACCATGGGCTTCCCGTATGATCACGACACATATGTTTATATACAGGCACAGCCTCCTCACTGTGGGCAGCCCATGTTACCACGACACAATTGTTACGTGATCTTACACTGTCTTCATCGTCCAGAGTTCATGTTTTCCATTGGGTTTCCTTTTTTAATTTTTCAATTATTTTATTTATTAAAAATTTCCACATCCTCCCCGCCTCCCTTGTTCCTCCTCCTCCCCCCTCCCCCTTCCTTTCTAGTCCAAAGAGCAGTCAGGGTTTCCTGCCCCACGGGAAGTCCAAGGTCCTCTCCCCTCCATCCAGGTCTATAAAGGTGAGTATCCAAATAAACCAGGCTCCCACAAAGTCAGTCCATGCAGTAGAATAAAAATCCCGTGCCATTGTCCTTGGTTTCACAGTCAACCTTCATTGCTAGCCACGTTCAGAGTGTCCATTTTGATCACATGCTCCAACACTCCCAGTCCAGCTGGCCTTGGTGGGTTCCCATTAGATCAGTCCCACCGTCTCAGTAGGTGGACGCACCCCTCATGGTCCTGACTTGCTTCATGTTCTCCCTCCTTCTGCTCCTCATTTGGACTTTGGAAGCTAAGTTCAGTGCTCCAATGTGGGTCTCTGTCTCTATCTCCATCCATCACCAGATGAAGGTTCTATGGTGATATGCAAAATGTTCATCAGTGTGGCTATGGGACAAGGTCAGTTCAGGCACCCTCTCCTCTGCTGCCCAAGGAACAATCTGGGGACCTCTCCTTGGACCTGGGAGCCCCTCTAGAGAGAAGTCCCTAGCAAACCCTAAAATGGCTCCCTTAATTAAGATATTTACTTCCCTGTTCCCATATCCACCCTTCCTCCATCCCACCCATCCCATTCCCCCAAGCTTTCCCCAATCATCCCCTTCTCCCCTCTCTCTACCCATCTCCCCTTACATGCACCCCACTCCCCCACCCCCGTGCACCCAAGTTTTGCCTGAAAATCTTGTCTACTTCAAATAACCAGGAGGATAACTATATGATTTTCTTTAGGTTCACCTTCTTATTTACCTTCTCTAGAATCACGAAGAACTTTCATATCAAAAATGGCCACCATGAACTCAGACATAAAATCAAAAGCATGATTGTCAGTATGTGAGACACAGTAGCTACTCAGAGACAGTTGTCAAAACTTCCAGTTCTATAGCTCACAGTTTTATTTAAAATGATGGTTTTACAGACTAAATAGAAACACTCATTTACTACTTTTATGTATTATATTTCTTTATAACTATTTTTAAGCAAAGCAATTTCTTTTTCTTTCTTTTTTCATTTTAACTAGAGCTTTTATTCTTTTATTTTGTTTTGTTTTGTTTTCTGAACTAGTCATTGGCTCAAGTATTTGTAATTTTCCTATCTCAGTGTTCTTGTCTTATATGGCACTGTGGATAGCTATGTGCCAAGATTCCAAGCTAATATTAATGACTGGTATTTTAATAATATAGACAAAACTGCTTTCTGTTATATATAGTACCCTGCAGCATATGTATACTCCATAGCTGAGTTTTTCTATGCAAAATAGTCTTAGAGTATCAATTAAAATTCATGAAACAGAAACTTACATTTGGTTACTAACAAATTTTAAGAAGGCAGTAAGACTTCTAACATTCCATAGACTCAACAAGTCCTAAAGAAGCAATCACAAGGAAATCTGTGGAGATGTTTCTGATAAAAAAAAATCACAGGTTCCATTCGTAGGCATTTCTATGCCTTCATTAAATGAAGAAGAGAAAATCCCTCCTCCATCAAGCAGCCAATCTGGGAAACATTCTGCAGCAGGAGCATTCTTCCTGATCTGCAGAGATGCTGGGTGAAGCAGAAGGTATGCTTCTTTTTGTTGCCAGTAGTGAGGCGGTGCTAGGAGTTTTAGGGAACATATTCATTGCACTTGTGAACTGCACAGAGTATTCCAGAAGCAAGAAGCTCTCTAAGGTTGGCTTCATTCTCACTGGCCTGGCAACTTATAGGATTTGTCTCATATGGATAATAACTTTTGACACATATACAAAGTTATTCTCTGTACATACACTTATCTACTTCAACACGTTTGAATGCATCAATTACCTATGGATAATTATGAATCACCTGAGTGTCTGGTTTGCCACCAGCCTCAGCATCTTCTATTTCCTGAAGATAGCAAATTTTTCTCACTACATATTTATCTGGCTGAAAAGGAGAAATGACAATGTTTTTATTTTTCTGGTAGGATGCCTGTTTGTCTCATTATCTATTGCTATTGCACAATTTGTGAAGATGGTTAATGATATCAAAATGCAATACAGAAACATCTCCATGCAGTTTCACCTAGAGGAGAAAGAGTTACTTATTAACCACGCCATTTTTCAATTTGAAATCCTTTTCTTCTTTGTGATAGCTGTCATTGCATGTCTCCTGTTAATACTTTCTCTTTGGAGACACAGCAAGCTGATGCAATTGAATGGCTCAGGATTTCGAGACCTCAACACAGAAGCTCATGTGAAGGCCACGAAAGTTTTAATTTCTTCTATCATCCTCTTTATCTTGTATTTTGTAGGTTTGGTCATAGAAGTATTGTGCTTTATTTGGCAAGAAGGCAAACTACTAATAATTCTTGGTGCGATAATTATCCTCATGTATTCTTTTATTCTAATTCTTGCAAACAACCAGCTGAAGAAAGTCTCTTTGAAGTTACTGCAGCAATTAAAGTGCTGTGATGAAGAACAACTCTGGGACACATAACAGTGTGGCCTAAAAACGAATTCCCTGATTTAATCTGGTCAGAAAATCCTTGAAGACTTTTTTGGCATGCACTAGTCCTTATAATAGTTTTTAGTTGAAATATCAAACACTAAAATAGTCTGCAATTGCTTTAACTATATCTTAGAGCTCTTTCTCTGCAGCAGGATTTTTTTACTCCACATGCAAGTTTTGCTGCTCAGTCAGCCTCCTGACACTGTAGCTTCTTCATTCAAATTTGCCAGAGAAGAAATATTAGCCTGCAGGTCCTTTTATGTAAAGACTTATGTGATGGTCGTCAAGTTGAATATATCTGAAATTAACTACAATCCAGAATTAGAGAACAAACTTTTGATCTGTTACTTGAGACTGAAAAACAACAGACTTTGATCTGGATCTTGAGGTGAGAACGACATACACCTGGATCTAAGATATACTTTCTGTTAGAAGTATACGTAAGGACAAAGGAAGAAAGAAGTTCATTCTTTGCCTGATTACTTCGCCTTGTCAGCACATTCATTCATTCACCAGCACTGGAGCCTATTTCTTCTGAATTCTATCATATAGAGAAGACTATCTGAGATTACCAGCCTTCTGAGATTGAGCAACTACTAAATTCTTGGCCTTTCCATTCACAGGTAGACATTGCTGGACTCCAGCCTGTATGTCATTCCATTGAATAGATAGATAGATAGATAGATAGATAGATAGATAGATAGATAGATAGATAGATAGATAGATAGATGGATGATGGATGGATAGAAAGATAGATAGATAGATAGATAGATAGATAGATAGATAGATAGATAGA